GGGGGGGGGGCGGCGGGGGGGCGCCCGCCCGCTGCCATAGCTTTCGGTTGGTTTGGTGTTCCGCTTGCTTAACGAGGGCAGGTCGCAAGGCATCGCACTCGAGTCCCTGGGAGTGAGAGTTTGCTGCCGTTTTTGTTTTCCTGAGAATTTTGTTTGTCTGACTCCGGAAGTTAGTTTCCAGCAGGCAGGACCTTGCGCCTGCGATGGCCACAGCTGTCGGGAGCGGGCTTTAGTTTGTGACGGATAAGAGTTGAGAGTCCGAGGCTGTGATCCCTGAGACGGGCGACCGTACATCTTCCTAAGAACTCGTTTGCCTTTTACAGGCCTCCCACCTGCCACTGTGGTTAGAACTGCTCCTCTCGACTGTCCGATCGCACGAGGAGTGACAGCAGGCCGCCGGCACCAGCGGGCTCTAGCCTGGTGGGCTGGGTGCGGGGCGCCACAGTTCCCCGTGGACCTTGCCCGGCCTCCTGAGTCACGTGGGCACAGCCCCTGGTGGCCTCGCCCTTGTTTTCAGGTCCACGTCTTCCTGCGACCACGCGGCAGACAGCTAGCCGACGGTGGGTGACCAGGGCCACCGCCGGGTACGGTTGCTCACAGCCTCGCTCTGCCGTCGGTGAACGTCGCCACCGGAGCTCCTGCCCCTGGAGGCGTTTCTCAGGAGCGCCACGGCCAGGCTAGGTAGTGGGAGGGAAGCCGTCTCCCCAGGACGGGCCCTGGGAGGCGCGGGGGTCCTGTTTGGGTTTGCAGTGTTAGTTAGGGTCACGTACTTACAGGACGAGGTTTGAACTCAGCCAAGGCGGGCACCGCAGTTCCCGGCCCCCCTGGAGCACGAGCAAAGGGACGGGGCCACCGCGGTGCGCGTCTCCTGCTGCTGCTCAGTCATTAAAAGGAGGATCGTTGACGAGAACCGCCTGGCCTGACGGGTCCTTGGTGTGGGCAGGTCGGGGAGGGTGTGAGCGTGGGGAGGCAGCGCCGCGCGAAGGTGGTCTGCGGTTCGGAGCGGGTGTGAGCCCCCCACCCCGAGTTTCCCTGCCTCACAGCAGCTCTGGGGAGGGCTTCATGTGGAACATGGCGTGTCGCTGTTTCAGAAAAGGCCGAGACCAGGCTGGGCCCGTGGGGTGGGGAGCGGAGGGGCAGGGGCTGAGCGTGAGGGGCCCGGTCCCCACGGGGTGTCCTCTCTCCCTCCGAACTCACACATCCTGAGCCATTGACGCAAAGGCAGAGCCCGCTGCAGGGCAGGGTTACTTACAGGCAGAGCCGGGGGCTCCGTCCTTTTCAGGCGAACCAGGAGTGGGTGGCACGTGGGCGCCATGGCAGGCAGCTGTACGCGCAGAGGGGGGGTGCGTGGGTGCTGATCGAACAGCCTGGCTCCCAACAATTGCTGAGGCAGTCAGTGACAGGTCTGGTGACACGCCAGGGCCCAGAGCTGCTGCGTCCTGCCATCTCACCTCCTTGTGTGCATCCCTCTCTTTTTAAAGAGATTTCTGCTATAGGGCGCATGTGCTTGCCGGAGAGACGGAGACGGAAGGTGAGCAATCACCCCCCTGCAGGGGTGGCCATGCCACAATCCCTTCTCTCATTCTCTCAGGGTTTGGGCACGCACACGGACATGCGTGGCCTGCATTTTATGCTGCCAGGTCCTGGACTTGAACCACAGTCAACTAAGTGGGAGTCCACCAGCATAACCATTACGCCATCAGCTGGTCACCCCCCTTTTAAAGGACAGTCCCCAAATCCTTCTGCCTCGTCATCTGAGCAGGGAACGCGGGACCGGCCACAACGCTCCTCCCAGCTCTTTCTGAGAGTCTCCGTGCTGCCCAGGCCAGCCTCCAGCTCGCCACCCTCCGGCCTCAGCACCTCTGAGCCACCGGGTTACAGCGGTGTGCTGCCGTGTCTGGCCTTAGGCTGGGCCAGGAACTGAACCCTGACCCGTGTGGTCACAGCCTACGGAACAGCAGCCCGGCCAGCACCCGGCACTGGGGCCCGGCCTCGTGTGTAAGCGTGTTACCTGTTCAGATTCGGTGTGCCCCGCCTTGGCCGTCAAAGCCCTGCTCCAGAGCAGCTCCCTGCTAGCTGCTTCCGCGGGTTTGTACCCCCTCCGCGCCACGCCGGGCAGGGTCCACGCCCCTTCAGGGGTGGCTGAGGTCGGGTCTCAGACGCCGAAGCCCAGTCCCTCTGCCTGGTTTACAGGCCAGCCTCTAAACAGCCCTCGGTATCGGTATTCGTGTTGGGCTGGCAGCACCGACAGGGGATGCTAATACATGGAGAAGGGGCGAGTTTGAACCCAGGGCTGTGGGGCGTCACCCCTCCTGTGACTCCGTCCTGGGCACTTGGAGGAGCTGCAGCAGGAGCTCTGCAGCAGGAGCTCGGCTCAGACCCCGGCGCCTGGGCTCCCCGCCTGCTCTGTGTCGTGGCTAGAGCCCCAGTGTACCTGTCTGGGGCGACAGCCGCCCTGCCTCGCAACCTCAGGGCATTTTCATTGTGGATCAGAACCCCTGACCCCTGATCCCCGGCCCTGGGCAGATCACCCACCCTGGGGAAGAATCACTTGGCCTAAATGCTTTCGTTTTTTTTTTTTGCCATAGGGTATGTGCTCGCCAGAAGGACAGAGAGACAGAAAGCGAAAAATCACTCCCGGGGGGACAGCCACGCCGCAATCCCTTCCCCTCCATTCTCCTCTCGGGATCTTGGGCACGCACGCAC